GATGGGGCGTTCACTTGATGTTTTCCATTCTCTGCATTCTTATTAGTTGATGGGGCGTTCACTTGATGTTTTCCATTCTCTGCATTCTTATTAGTTGATGGAGCGTTCACTTGATGTTTTCCATTCTCTGTATTCTTACTAGTTGTTGATGGGAAATTCTCTTTATTATTTCCATTCTTTGCATTCTTACTAGTTGTTGATGGGAAGCTCTCTTTATTATTTCCATTCTTTGCATTCTTACTAGTTGATGGGGCTAATAATTTGATTTATGATTAGAGACGTTTCATTTATACAATAAATTAGCGGAATTTAACTCGTATATAAAAAATTAAAAAGCCTTATTTATACTTACTATTTTTGCTGACAGTGCCGTAATAGCCCGCATAACCTAATAATTAGAAAGAAGTTTTATTTAGTTATAGATAATTATACAATTGGTTAATAAATTTTACTTATAAAAATTATTAATTATTATAAACTTTCAATCAATATTGAATTTTTTACTCACTTCCGGCTAATAATTTAAAATTTTCATTAATAGTTAAATGATAAATTATTACATATAATAAAAATTTTCAATTTAGAAATTAATGTTGTACTCACTTTTTTTATAGTTTCCATAGTTTCCAAAAGAACCAGTGTATCCATACTTTTTTACTAATAATTTAAATGATAATAATTTAATTTATATATAACGATTAAAGTTAATCTATAAATTAATTTTTTTACTCACGCTCATTATAAAATTCTAATAATTAATTGATTGGAAAAATTTTATTAGAAAAATGTGATGACCAATAAATCACGGAATCAGAGATTACATTATAAAACTTACCGTCATTACCCTTACCAGGCATAGGCATGGCGTAAGTAGAGGTGACGGCATTAAGAGCAAAACCGATGAGAAGGATTAAAGATAATTTTGATAATTTTGCCATTTTAAAAGTGATTTTTTTTTTTTCGGAATTAAAGGAAATATTTGGGGGAGGATTTTTTCGAAATTGAAGGAAATATTTTTCGAAATTGAAAGAAATATTTTCGAAATTGAAGGAAATATTTTTCGAAATTGAAGGAAATATTTTTCGAAATTGAAGGAAGAAAGAAAGAAGGAAGAAAGAAAGAAAGCAGAAGAAATATAATATATCAGATTCTAAAGAGGAGAGTAAAGGAGAGTGATTAGAGAAGAAAGAGTGAATCGTTAATGATTTATATATTTTCTTGGAATGCATAGTTTTGTAATGTTAAAAGCATTAAAAATTACATAACATAATGCGGACTCTCACAAAACGTAATAAAGCTTCCTTCTAAAAATGTAAATGTTTAATATAAAAACCCTTCTTAGATGCATGTAGAAATGTTGTGAGATATTATAAGGAATAAGATGCGAAAGTTTCCTTGGATCATATAATTATTGGTATGCACATGGAAAGAGTTCATCATTTGTCGATTGAAATTAATCTCAAGAATAACTTTAATGCTATAATTAGCTCACAAATACTGTACATAATAAGTTACATACAGTTGGGAGCATACATGCACAGGCTAACTTTGTTGGAAGAGGAATCGGCATTCATAAATTTAAGACATGAATTTATTATCATAGCTAAGAATTTACAGTATTATTGTACTTAAAGACAAGATTATGAGATGTATACATTCAAAAGGCTTACAAAACAATAACAATTTTGGCAAAGAAAAGGGTATCATCATAAAAACGGTATTAAAATTTTCATTATTTTTATACAAACTCATGTAATGTGCAATAAATAAATAGCATTTAAAGAGAATTAATAAATATCGGGTGCTAAAAAATACCCGATATGCATCTATATATCAGAATTTTGGCTGATCTATGGGTATATATCGGGGATTTTTAGACTCTATATGCTTATTAATTCAACCCGTGGAGGCGAGGAGCCAGAGCTTGAGAGTGCATTTAGGAGATTAAACGTTAAAGTTTAAGAATGCATTTAGGGAAGTAGTGTGCATTTAAATTAAAAATTACCAGATTAGGGGGGGTTCGCTAAAGCGGAGTAATTTCATAATTCATATAGTGATCTACATACATTAGCCAATCAGATTGCGAATT